GTGCCAAATGTTGTCATAATTATATTTATACCAATTATAATACATGTGGAAAATATGAGCCCAGACACGCACACCACCACTAGGATTAGGTACAGTTTTGTGCTATAATTAAATGCCGTAAAATCATAATAAATTTGAGATTTCTTAAGTTTTAATTAAATTCTGATATAAAACACTACAAAATATATATTTTATGTGTTATCTATCGATGAAATCAAAGGCTAGAAAAGTTTATAATAACTTAAAGTCACATCAAATTAGACTGTTATCGAGTGTTAGCGACACTTTAAAACACCTACTCTTACGGCACTACTCGCTATAAATTACTTTTCAATTTGAGTGAAAATTTCAATTACACTGCAATTCTCGCTTCAGATTAACATAAATAAAGATTAGAAAACTTTTTTCTCCTTAAAATATATCTACCAGTTTGTGTGTCACATCCCATTCCCTTATATATAATACCTGAACTGTGCGGCAAAGGTGTCAATATCGCAACAGTACTCAAAATGTGTGTAATCTTTGGGTGAATCGTCTCGACAACAGTATTTCCTCGCAAACACCGTATGATTGCCGGCAAAACAATTGGTGTATATTTTACTCATGTTTCCATTATAACTGAGACAAATGCCCACTTCTGGCCTTACATTGGCTTCAACTCCTAATAACAATCATAATAATTAGCAAAAACCTATTTATACATACAATACACATATCTCTGGGTTCTCTCCGCCACAGAAAATATGATTAATTATGATTACATTGAATACCTCTCGAAATTAGAGTAATTATTAATAAACATACGCTTAATACAAATTTTTCAATAAAATAATTAATCATTTCTTATGGTTATTGTATTATTCTCGTCGTATTGTATTCATTAACTTCTTATGTTATCATAGGATTTATAATTAGAGAGAAAACTGATGTTCAAAACGAATTAAAGGGCTTTTTATAAATGTATTCATTTCTGTTGTGTTTGCTCTCAAAACATAAGAAATAAGAAAATAGTTTCTGTAAAACTGATTCAAAATTCAAAAATAATAACTACAAGAATATATATATATATAGAATATATATATATATATATATATAGAGGCATATAATAACCGTATTATTAAATGAACCCATTGTTGGGCTCGAGTTTTATTAGCCCTTCGATTGATTATTAAGTAATTATAACAAAAGATAAAAATATTATATAATAGAAAAATATGGAGATTTATAACATATAATTGATTGGTAGCATCGATGGGAGGGTTGCACTATATTTGATTGTTCAAACACTCATTTTTCTTACTCTAAATATCATTATAATAGTGTATACCCAATAAATTTCTAATATAATATACATACTACTAGAGGTATACTCCGGTAATTCAAATGCAATATTCATTGTGTAGAACAATAAGAAAATAAAATAATAAAATACTTTGAAATCCTAAATCTGTCTGTTATTAGAGCCTCAAAGGACTCAGGAATTTGGAAAAACTTGTTTTTTGTGCGAAAGAAAATTGTATTAATATTTAGAGTATGTATTAGTTATCGACTCAATCAATGGGATGTAAACTATATTTTATAAATCACGCGTTGAATAAGGTTTTCAAGTCACGATAATGCAGACATTTCAATAAACATCCAGTCAACCTCAGCTAACAAGTCAACACAAAATCGTAAATTAGATTTATTAGATTTGTATGAATTCAAATATTATGTTATTCACAAAATTTTATGAAAATTTAAATATTTGTGTAATTATAATTTATGCGTAAGTTTTCACTAGTAATGAAGATTAATAGTCTCCCAGTTTGTAAAAATATTGTAAAATCTATTGTGTATTTTTAAGTCCAGAGGGAAAAGTAAAATATGTTATAATTTATTTGAGCACAGGTATGAGATTATACCTAAAAGTTAGCCACAAAAAGACCACCGAAAGCAATGTGCAAACACAATACAACTGCCAAATACCCTTAATCTAGATAACAATATTACAATATTATATTGCAATGGGATTGGAAATTTGTATGTAACAATTAATTATTAATGTTTAGCACAATTTTACAATAATTCAAACTATCGTAATGTTTTAATACATATTTTAATTAGCAACATAAAATAATAAAAACAAAATTTCTATCCGCAAATTATGATTGTTCGTTACACACAATCACTTTATTAACACAAATTTTTTGCTTTAAATTATTTCTAAGTATGCATTGAATTAAAATTTATTATAAATTTATTTAATTAAAATCGCCATTTCCTAATGCCTTACATATTAATGTCTCAGGCATTGAGATATTGGGATATTTTGTGCATATATTGCGTTATCTGAACACAAAATCAGTGCTTATTTTCTTCATCTCTTTTCTTAATCTAAACTTTAATTTAATTAAAACTTAAGGACTAATAATCATAAATAATAGCAACAAATGACTGATTGACTTAAGAATTTATTTATCATAAATTTTCCCTATGTTCATATATTTGTTATTACATTTTATAACATATAATTTGTATGTTCATTATTTGCTATTATCAGAAAAAATCTGTATTTCTTTGTTAAACTAAAGTCAAAAACTAGAATATTATTCATATTTACAGAAAAATGATTTTTCTATACAAATGATACCCTTTGGAGAGAAAAATTAAAACATTTTGTTATGTATTAATACAAAAGTGTAATTTTAATTAAATAAAAAAGTTGCATTTAATTTAGTGGGCATTCGTATAGAAATAAAATTACAATTAAAGTGTCAAAAACATTGGGTTCACACCCTATCATCATACAATAGTTATGTTACCTTTTATTTAAAATAAATATTAATTTATTTTATTATATATTTTATCTTGTGATGTAATTAAATTTGTTTTCATGTTTATTATTGTTTTTAAAAATAATAAAAATTAGAAATTAATTTTAATGTTCAATTAACACAGAATTCAATGTACTTTTTGTAAAGAAAATTACTTAACATTTAATTGCATGTAACAAGAAATTTGTACACATTTTGTGCAATCAAATCATAATTTGTAATGACTTTTAATTTGAAGTTCTTAATCTATTATATTATCTAAAATCCTCTATAATTAAAAATTAACTAAAATTTTTAATTTGCAAAATTTCTGTATTATTTGATTAGAGATATTTAGTTTTACTTAATTTGTGATTTAAAACGCTTTTTGAACAATATTTATGTATTAGTTTGTTATTAATTATTTTAAATAACTGGAACTTAATTAAGATTTTATAATAAAACAAAAATAAGGAGTTTTATATAACTATTTATATAATCATATATTTACATGAATTGTAATAAGCGACTAAATATCACTAACCTTTAGTCTATATAAATTCATATTAAATTTAATTTATATGTAATCATTACTCTAATGCTTGAGAATTTTGATTAATATTAAAACAAACAACAAAATAATAAGCATATTTTCAATAAAGACAAAAATCTATTAAGTTTTATATCTTACTTGTAATAGATAGTGAGTGTAGGATTTTTTATTCATAAATAAAACAATTTTATTTATTATTATTTGAGATATTTGTATAATTTTCAAATTGAGTACTAATTTAAAGGAGAATTCGTAAATGAAAACATTAACTAAATAGTAATAAGTCTTGTATAATAATCATGAGTATGTTTCTATATTTATAATGCATATTTAGATTTGAATATTTTATTTTTATTACTCAATTATTACTTTATACTTTATGAAAAATACATTAGAGAGAGAGAGAGAGAGAGAGAGAGAGAGAGAGAGAGATTCTGTAAATATACGGTATATATTATATGTGTTGATAATGAGTATATGATTATATGATTTGACTCGAGTATTGCGTTTGCTCTGCAAATAATTATTATTTATATTAATGTCTGAATTAATTTCTTTTGCTGTTGTCTTATATTTATGATATAAGAGCCGAATATCTGTTTATAAATATATATTTATTTATTCTAATGAATGGATTGAGTCCATTGAATCGACACTTTAAACTAATACTAATATAGATTTTTATTTATACTAGCATAAATAAAAATCTATATTAGCATTGCTATTTATTCATATACTGCATGCTATCTAATGATAGCTTATACTGTAATTATAACTAATTTTCACCCGAAAAGTTGTTCACAAATGCTTTTATTTTTAATAATTACATTATTTTTATGTATTGATTAATTTTCTCGTAATCCTTATTAACGGATAATTGCATTCAATTTATTCAAATCAAGACTTGGGAGCCAAAGACTATCCTTTAAAAATTGGTTTTATTTTTTATTTACAAAAACCAATCGCAAGCCCTTTAGGCCTTTAAAGGCTATAAAAACCCAAATGAGATACTAATGAAAGAAAGAAATTAGACCTCAATTCTAGTCAATACATAATTTTTTAGAGAAACAAATAGTATTCATATTTTTAGTATTCAATATAAATCCAAAACTTTTCGATTAATCATTTTTCTCTTGACATTCAATTTTGATACTTTAATATACTTTTAATTCTGACACTAATTACTTAAATGTATTTATATTTACAAAATGAGAGGGTAGAAAATAGATACACATATATTTGTGTTTATTAATAACCTTTTTTGTCGTAGAATTGTATTAAAAATTTTGATACAAACAAACAAAAAATCTTCATTTCCTTAGTATATATAATAAATTGCTTTTTGAATATAAAATATATTACACGAGAAATATATTTTATACGTTTGATAAATATATACATGTATTTAAATATATACAGGGCAATTATTCTGGCGATTGATTGAACTGACAAACAGCTCATCTGAATTGAGTGATAAACTAATTCCTGTGAATATATTAATAACGGTTTATTCACACAACACATACAAATTACATTTATTATTACGTGAAAAATATGTTGTATATACTATTTATTTTGCTCGGGGATTGTCAGTGCCAATTCAATACTTGTGTATCAGTGATAATAATTATAATTAAATCTTGGTATGTATATGTATGTATATATTTAGCACTTTTAATTAATTTAATAAAATTAATTACTGAATATTTTGTGCTCATTATTCAAATGGTAAAACACATGTTTTGGTGCATAAACTAATCGCTCGTACTTTTGAGTACCTCATGTCAAACACACGGCTTAAAAATGTATGATATATTGAAATAGCGATCATTACAGTAGAAAAATGCGATAAAAAAGCGTTTTTCAAAGCCATTTATAAAGTCTAAAGAATGTTGTGAGTGTGTAGTCAATAAAAATACCGTCAATTAGAGTATAATTGTGTTAAAATTAATGATGAGATGACATTAAGATTTTTTTTCAGTTTTTATTTGTGGCAAAAAGTTTACTCCAAGTGACAAATATTATACATAAGTTTGTGTTTCCGTTTAGACATTGCTTTTATCATATGATTATTGCTGTAAAATAAGAAAAACTTGTGATAATTGCTGCAAACTCTGCGAGTATTTAATATAATTAAGACATTAGTCTATAAAATGTGAATCATTTAGATATGAAATAAGATCTTCTCAGCAGATAATAACGGTTTGCCTACAAAATACTGTATGAACCTCTCACTAATACCAACATAATAACAAATAAAAAACTAATTTCCATGAAAAAATTTCTAATGAGGTTTAGATTGCAATTAAATAACTTTCTGATATATAAGACACTTAAATACATATACAATAACGTGGTGTCAAACAACAAGAAAATTAGCCAATTTTAAAGCAAATTTTGTTTTATTTTTCTTGTTTTTTCTCAACCACTTTGCACTCATGTATTATATCAAATGAGAAATACATTAAAACAAATGTGTATTGCATTTGTGTTTATAGTTTACAAGTTAGCGAAAAAATCTTAAGATTGCTATCATTGAAGAACTCGTTGACTAACCAGTTATTGTGTGATCAATGTCTCGGCTAAGAGTTAATGAGATAAGGATTTTGTTGTTTTTGGTATAATTTTCAAACAAAAAACATAACTTAATTTTTCTCCCAGTTATCTGCGACCATAACTTAAACTGTGTTTTTGTATTCTCGCAGTCATTATATTCACTTCAAAAGCAATTTTTCCAAACTTTTCAAATAATTTATAGATAAATAAATTCCGCTTTTTGATTACACAAACCATTAATATATTTTGGTTTATAATTCAATTTAAAGGTTAAGATCTCTGCCTTCAGAGTAAGAGAGACAAAAAGACGAGAAAAATGATTAAAACCTCTTAAGAAAATTATTGTTATATAAATAATGAGAGAATTTATTATTACTTTTTTCCGGAGATATTATTCTCATATAATTCACACAATTTATTACTAAATACAACACAATCGAGAATTAATTTTTATCTCTGAAAGGAGTATAAAAAATATAATTTTCATTATTTAATAATTGATTTCAAATTTTGTTTTATTTTTCTTGTTTTTTCTCAACCACTTTGCACTCATGTATTATATCAAATGAGAAATACATTAAAACAAATGTGTATTGCATTTGTGTTTATAGTTTACAAGTTAGCGAAAAAAATCTTAAGATTGCTATCATTGAAGAACTCGTTGACTAACCAGTTATTGTGTGATCAATGTCTCGGCTAAGAGTTAATGAGATAAGGATTTTGTTGTTTTTGGTATAATTTTTAAACAAAAAACATAACTTAATTTTTCTCTCCCAGTTATCTGCGACCATAACTTAAACTGTGTTTTTGTATTCTCGCAGTCATTATATTCACTTCAAAAGCAATTTTTGCAAACTTTGCAAATAATTTATAGATAAATAAATTCCACTTTTTGATTACACAAACCATTAATATATTTTGGTTTATAATTCAATTTAAAGGTTAAGATCTCTCCCTTCAGAGTAAGAGAAACAAAAAGACGAGAAAAATGATTAAAACCTCTTAAGAAAATTATTGTTATATAAATAATGAGAGAATTTATTGTTAAAAAAGGCCTCTATAATAAGAGTATATTAAGTGTGTTAAATAATGATTTATGTTGTGTTAGCTCTTAATTAAAAATAGAGACTTTCCTCATATTTTTTATATTAAAAGTAATAAATTATTAACTAATGTTTTTTAGTTTTATTAAATTTTCTTTAAAGATATAATTCTCGGTCTTCTCAGCAAAGATGAAATCCCTTTCCTTTGTGTTTGGCATCTATTGAATGATAACAGAAATAATGAGAGAGAAAAAGGGTTTAATTTTTTATTTTTATAAATAAACAATTATCTATAGAATAGACAATTATATTATATATATTGAGAAAAATAATTATCTGTAAAACTAAATTTTTATTTTTCCCTTTTGTTAGTCCAGTGTTTGTGTTTGCTTAACAATCTTAACCCTCTAGAAGACTTATTTATAAATAATAATACTAATATCATTAACAAAAAACACATTTTAAATTAGACTTTTTATTAAATGTAAAAGTTTATATCTCTCTTTATCTCTATTTTAACCCATATTTCGGAAAATACAAGTAATTTCTGTGTTGAAAGCAAATCAACTAAACACTGAATACTGTGTAACACAAGACACGACAAACAGTTGTGTTGTGTAAAGTAAAACTCATTTTTTACACTAATATTTGTTTAGTATTTATTTTTAGATCTAATTTTGTGGTTCACCTGAATATTTAGGACAACCAAACACAGGAATGACATTCAAAAGTTAGAAAAACGCGAACATAATTGTTAAGACATTTAGCGAAAATTATTTTATCAAAAACTGTTATGATTAGAGATTTTTGGGGTATGTTTTCAATCGATACTCACTTCTAATTATATATATTTTCATAAATTAGTTAATAATAGAATTAAAACACAATTTTCTTAGCCCATTACTTAACCAATAAATTAATGCATGTTTTGTGTTGAATGTCATAAAAAATATAACTGTAATCATTATTATTAAAAAACATCATTATTAATAAGGCAGTCATTTGACCTTTTAACTAAAGTTACATAACAGACCTATAATACATAAATTTACTCATCTACACACAATCTCTCTCTCTCAGAGAGAGAGAGACTAAGAAATATTATTTCATACTTAAAATACTGCTAAGAAATGCGGCAAACGTTGCATAACTAGTAACGGCACGACTTCCTGATGATGGACTCAATCGAGTGGTGTTTACTTTAAACGTTTGGTTATTGTCTGCATTTGTCGGTCCTATGACTTCGATCTCTATTTTATGGTAATCCTCTAAACTGTATGTTTTGTGTCCATCCGATTGTGTTTGCATTTCCCCATCATATTTAAGACACAAAAAGTATTAGCAATAAAAACGCCAATAAATATAACATTAATCTAATAACAGATAAATCTTGAAAAATTACAACAATAGTGTATATAATTGTATGCATTTGTGTGTCAATGCATTCATAAACAATTAATATTTCAAATTTCATTGTTTTTAAACACATAAGAAAATAATTGATTTATTTGTCTCAACGCATACTTGGGATCAGATATGAGGCAACCGATGGTGCCATCGAAGCCCAGGCTATAGCCAGCAATAGCTGCCGCGGCCATTGTGTTCACATTATTAGGCGCTAAACTGCATACCTGTCGAACTGGTCCTTAGGAATGGTGGGGCCGATGGGAAGCCAAACATTTATTAGATTTCACACACAGTATTAGTAGGAGAAATATTTTTTAAAAGCATTTAAACCAATACTAAAATATTTAATTAATGCGACAGAAGAGAGAGAGAGAGAGAGAGAGAGAGAGAGAGAGAGACGATAATAAAGTTTGTTAAGTAGTTAGTAAGCGTTAGAAACCCTTTTAAAATGAAATTGTTCAAATATTTCTCATTGCAAACCTTTATACAGCGTAATTGGTTTGTCATGTATTGAATTGTTTAAAGTCTGGAGCTGTCCCTCAAGTCTAAGGCTATGCGGATGGAAATGCATAGTCACTGATAATCCCTTAACCCCGACATCACATACGATCGCAATTTGATAGAAAAATATATAACATTTTTATTAATATTTTTTGTCATTATATTTATGGCCATAAAAGGATTAATAAATTTTAAATATATTTTCATATTTACTCTCAAAGTATTCCTTTCAGACATCTTTCGTATATCACTTCCACCTTAAGATATTGAACCCATAATTCATACGTTTATATCCCAAATGCCATTCAGTGTATGGAAAAAAAGCATAACAAATATAATTGAGTTATTCTCAAAGAGTCATAAACCACACACTCGTTGGCAATCATATAAACAGTTAATCCCTACCCCATAGAGCACCGGTCGGTATGAATAAACTGGATTCAGATTTATTGGATGCGATTATGAGTTTATTTTCGAGCTCTTTATCCGCCAAACAAGAAGGAGATCCAATCTGGTGATCAAGTGGTGAGTCAAGCCATCAGATTATAATCAGTCCCCGAAAATAGAGAGAGAGAGAGAGAGAGAGAGAGAGAGAGAGAGAGAGAGAGAGAGGGATATAAATTAAGTTTTCATTTGTGTGCCGATTATAAAGTGCTATTTGTGTGATGGATAAGCAGGAAATGTATGCATGTTTTGCTTGGGTATCGGCGCTATTACCATAAGATCGCAGTGTTTAATGAATTGAGCGCCAAATTCGTGGATTATCATGGGATGAGACACTTCGACAATCAGATCCACTTTATATCTGTCAACATGTGTCAGCTCATCCAAAATGAGACCCTTATCTCCACCGACACTGTCATACAGGGCCTCCGTTTTCGTACGATTCCATACGAACCCCAACTTTAAGCCAAGTTTTGTGCCGTTTGTTTGAATTTCGTTCACCAGATATTGACCTTAAAATTGAGTGCAAAATACATTAACAGAAAATATATAATTTTGTTATTTGTGTTTTTTGTTTTATGTTGAATGATATAAAATTATAAGGAAAACAAAAACGAAAAAACTTTTTGTTATTCACACTTTATCGCAGACATTAACATCAATACTAACCCAATCGCCCGAAACCTACTATTCCTATGACTTTGAACGACTGACTCTCCGAAGACATAATTATTATAAATTATCCCAAAAATAATATAATACTCATAAACACGTTGTCACTATTAATATTAATAATGGACTCAAAAATTATACGAAAAACTTAATAAAATCTGGGAATTTTTAAAAACTTATTAAAAACTAAATATCATGTGTTTTAAAATGAACTGTAAATTCAAAAGGACTTGAAATTCATTAGGTTTTGCACTAATAAAACACAAAATGCATTAATAAATGCCGATAACTAATGTTTTTTGATAAAGTGTAGAGTGGATGATCACTGGGGCTTAGAAACAGGCCCTACACTCAGCCATAGGTTTCCCCATATTTTAACATAATATTGTTGTTTATTATGGGACTTATCATCAGTTGTTATCAATTATTTTTCGCTTCAATCCGAGATAAATACATGTAAAATGTTTGAAGTTTTAAGGTTTCCCAATAATTTTATCATATCATTAGAAATGAATTTAATTTTACAACCATTTCAATGGTTCACTACATGTAATGGTAAATCGAGGGGTGGGTTGTTAACCAATAACTAAAATGTACATTACATCAATATACTGGTACTATATGTTGGTGTTTGAAATTAGAATTTAATTTATTGCTTGATAAAATAGATTTTATATTTTTATTACCAAAACAAACAAAACTATTGGCAAAAATCATTACAAATGTAGTGAATGTTTGTGTATTATTTAACGCATAGCTTCAGAGAAAACTAGAAATAGATGTAATGTATTAATAAATGGCATACAAAAAGGATCCTCAAAAATATATTTTAATTTTAAATTAGATTTTGATTAAGTATTAGGCGTCAGATAACCAACAGATAACACGCTGTTTATGGTATTTGATAAATATAT